CGGTCTAGTTGCTGCGTCTTGCTCGTGCCGGTCTTTCACCCACCGGACCGTCTTGTGGCACCACCGTCTTGGCCACGCATCGATCCCCCGCCTCCGCACTATGGCTAGTCACCGTCTTGTCTCAGGTCTCCCTCGCGTCTTCCCGTCGCTCCCTCCCTCGCCTGCGCCGCCGTGCACTCCTTGCGTCGCCGGCCGTCTTCGTGCCACTCCGCACTCCTCCTCCCTTCGTCCGGCCACTGCTCCCTTCCAGACACTCCACTTGGATGTCTGGGGCCCTGCACCTACGCAGGGACCTGAGAGGGAGCGCTACTTTTTGGTGGTCGTCGACGACTTCTCCAGGTACACCACGGTATTTCCTCTAGCGAAGAAGTCCGAGGTGACTTCTACGCTGATCCGGTGGCTTCTAGCCACTGAGGGCACTCGTGGCCGTCGTGTCTCCTGTCTCCACTCTGACCGTGGGGGTGAGTTTCGCTCAGGCATTCTTGCCGGATTCTGCGGCGAGCAGGGCATTGTACAGTCCTGGACGCTGCCGGAGTCCCCACAGCAGAATGGGGTTGCTGAGCGCCGCATTGGCTTGGTCATGGACATCGCCCGCACGTCCATGATTCATGCCTGTGCGCCCCATTTTCTGTGGCCCTACGCGGTTCGCTACGCCGCTCACCAGCTGAACCTCCAGCCGCGCGTCTCGCGGCCAGAGGCTTCACCGACCAGTCTTTGGACCGGGTCCCCTGGTGTTGGGTCAGCTTTTCGTGTCTGGGGCTGCCTTGCGCTTGTCCGCGACACCTCTGCGGACAAGCTCTCGGCTCGCGCCGTCCCCTGTGTCTTCCTTGGTTTCCCGGTAGCCTCGGCCGACTGGTCCTTTTACCACCCGCCCCTCCACCAGTTCCTAGACTCCCGTGACGTCCGGTTCGACGAGTCAGTGTCCTACTACACCAGGTACCCCTGTCGAGGTCTCCCGGTTCTCCTTCCCCCCCTTTTCCTCGCACCCTCTCTTCCCCCTGCTCCCGCTCCTCCGGTACCCCCACCCCCCACTGGTCCTGCCCCGTCAGGTGTGTCTCACGCTACCCCTCTACCCTCGGTCGCGCGTCAGGTAGCGGCTCCCTCCCCGCAGTCCTCCTCACAGTCCCCTCAGCAGCCTTCGGTACTTCCGCGACAGGCTATTGTGGACTCGGTTGGTTTTGAAGCTGGAGGTGCAGCCACTGGCGGTACTCGGTCCGGGGGTGCTCGTTTGAGGGGTGCTGGAGTTGGAGGTGCTGGCGCAGGTGGCGCTAGCCCTGGGGGTGCTGGAGCTGGAGGTCCTGGCACTGGAGGTGCTAGTCCTGAGGGTGCTGGAGCTGGAGGTGCTGGCGCAGGTGGCGCTAGCTCTGGGGGTGCTGGAGCTGGAGGTGCTGGCACTGGAGGTGCTAGTTCTGGGGGTGCTGGAGTTGGAGGTCCTGGCACTGGCGGTACTAGTTCTGGGGATACTGGAGCTGGAGGTGCTGGCATAGGAGGTGCTGGTTTTGGGGGTGCTGGTGCTGGAGGCGCTGGCACTGGAGGTGCTGGTTCTGAGGAGACTGGAGCAGGAGACACTGGTTCTGCGGAGTCCACTCCGCCTCCCCACCGCCACGACACACGTCTCCAGGCGGCCCGTCGGCGTGAGCGTGAGGAGCAGGTGCTGTTGGAGAGGGAGCGGCAGGAGTTGCGGCAGTTGGACCAGCTGGAGCAGCAGCAGCAGCAGCAGCAGCAGCAGCAGCAGCAGCAGCAGCAGCAGCAGCGGCGGCACCAGCAGCAGCCGCAGCAGCAGCAGACACCGCCGCCGCAGCTGCGACCACAGCAGCTCCCTCTGGAGCGGCAGCTGTTCCCACCCGTGAGTGGCCTTCGGGCCCTTGGTCTTCCCTCCTCTCCTCCTGTTTACACTCCGTCCCCTCCAGCGTTTGGTCCCACGTTTCCTCCTCCTGACGCCCGTCCGGCGGTCTGGTCTTCTCCTCCACCGCAGTCTCCTCCACCTGGTGTCCCGCACTCTCGTGTCCGTCCCTGTCCTCCGCGTGCTCGTCACTCGTCTCCCGTTACCGACCTCCGCACTGCCCTCCTTTGTTCGTCTCTTCGTCGTCCTCCTCCTGAGTCCGTTCTCCCGTGTCCACCTCCGTCCTCTCTCCCTTTCCCCCCTACTCCTGTCACTGACTACTACCGCGCTGTTCGTCCTGTTGTCTCTTGGGTCCTCGCCACTCTTGTCACCGTCTCTCGTTTCCCTCCGTCGTCTGTCTCGGCTCTCACTGCCGCTGTCGCTGAGTTTGCTGCCGCCAGTCGCCTTGACTACACCACCCGTGTGGTGCCAGCTCCTCCCTCCCGTCCTCTGTCCGTCAGGGGTGGGTTTGCCCTTGGCTGTGACGTCCTAGAGGACAGAGAGTCTGAGCTGGAGTACTGGGCAGCCGCTTCTCCCTCTGTCTGTGCCATGCTGCTATCCCCTGAGGGAGACCCCGACGCCCTTGACATACCGACTCCTCGCACTTACCGCGAGGCAGTGTCAGGGGCGTGGGCCTCACAGTGGAAAGCGGCTATGGCCTCGGAGTTAGCGTCTTGGAGATCCACAGGCACCTACGTCGACGCAGTTCCCCCTCCCAGGGCGAACGTAGTCGATGGCATGTGGCTCTTCAAGGTGAAGCGGCCGCCTGGTTCACCGCCTGTGTTCAAGGCGCGCTACGTGGCTAGGGGTTTCAGTCAGCGTGAGGGAGTTGACTTCTTCCAGACCTTCGCCCCGACCCCGAAGATGACTACTCTTCGGGTGTTACTGCACGTAGCAGCACAGCGAGACTACGAGCTGCACTCCCTTGACTTCTCTACTGCGTTTCTCCAGGGCCGACTACACGAGGAGATCTGGCTGCGCCGCCCTCCTGGCTTCACTGACACCTTCCCACCTGGGACCCAGTGGAGCCTGAGGCGACCAGTCTACGGTCTCCGCCAGTCACCCCGTGAGTGGCACGACACTCTTCGCTCCACGCTTCATGACCTTGGGTTTTGTCCTTCCTCTGCCGACCCGTCGCTGTTTGTTCGCACCGGTTCCACTCCTTTCTTTATACTAGTGTACGTCGACGACTTGGTCTTTGCCACAGCAGACAGGGCAGCTCTGGCTCAGGTGAAGTCCGAACTGCAGAAGAGACACACGTGCACTGACCTAGGTGAACTGCAGCGCTACCTTGGCCTGCAGATCACTAGGGACAGAGCCGCTCGCACCATCACATTGACTCAGTCACACATGGTGCAGCAGGTCCTTCGGCGGTTCGACTTCCAGTTCTCCACCACTCAGCCCACTCCTCTTGCTGTTGACCACAGACTCACTGGCCCCTTTCCCGACGAGCCTTTTGAGCCCAGTGGTCCCTACGCAGAGCTGGTGGGCTGCCTCATGTACCTGATGACTTGTACTCGGCCGGACCTCGCCTTTCCCCTCAGCGTCCTCTCTCGCTTTGTTGCGACTGGGAGACACCGTCCTGTCCACTGGACAGCTGCTGTGAGGGTGGCGAAGTACCTGGCGACTACATCAGGCATGGGGCTTGTGCTTGGAGGGACTCAGCCAGTGGCGTTGACTGGTCACTGCGACTCTTCCTACGCTGACGACGTGGAGACGCAGCGCTCGACTCAGGGTTACTGCTTCAGTCTGGGAGCTGGTGCTGTGTCGTGGAGGTCTACACGGTCGTCGTCTGTGGCTACTTCCAGTGCAGAGGCAGAGATCTACGCTGGTGCCATGGCGGCACAGGAGCTTCGCTGGTTGACCTTCTTGCTCGCCGACCTTGGTGAGCGGCCTCGCTCTGCACCGACCTTGTACGCTGACAACAAGGCCATGATCCTCCTGTGTCGAGAGCCTCGACAAGAGAGCAGAGTGAAACATATTGACGTGAGGTACTTCCTCCTGCGAGAGCTGCAGCGACGCGGCCAGGCACGCCTGGACTTTGTGGCCTCAGAGGCAAACACTGCAGACGTCTTCACCAAGGCCTTGGCGCTTGGTGATCACCACAGGTTTTGTGTGCAGTTGGGGCTTGTTGAGGTAGGCCCTCGGTTGCTGTAGTCTTGTTGCTTGCTCTGCTTGTTGTGTTTTCATATATATATCCTAGTGAACTCTTGAACTGGCCTTGTGGCCGCTTGCTTGCGCTCGGAATTTGTGTGGTGTCCTTAAGATCCACCCTGAGCTTGCCTTGTTTCTTGCTTTGACTGGTCTTGTGACTGTTTGTTCACCATGCTTGCTTTGATGCCCCTCACTTAGCCTACGGGGGTGTGTCAAATGTTGTTATTGGTAGTAGGCTGCAGTGAGTAGCACTCTAAGGAGTACAACACTTTTAGGGTTTCTATTTGTATTCCTTGCTCTCCTAAGTCAAACATTCCGTTGCATTCACTTTCTGAGATGCTGGCCTAACCGAGTCGGCCTACGCTTTAGGACTAGCCCGAACCTCGCTGCCAGCGTAGCACTAGCTAGCTCGCACGCACCGCGTTACCGTTTGCATGTTTCGCGTATAAGTATTCGCTCATGCCTTCGCTCATACTTGTACTCTTTTGACACTCTAGTGCAATCCTCGCTACTTCGTTCTATTGCACCCGTAACAACAACACGGAACAGTGCACATCACAGCCCATTAGTTACACTTGTTGCAAACCCATTGTTTACTTTACAAAGCCACTCAAGAGAGAAATACAAACAGAGTTCATAGATGTGCACGTACAGAGAGAGAGAGAGAGAGAGAGAGAGAGAGAGAGAGAGAGAGAGAGAGAGAGAGAGAGAGAGAGAGAGAGAGAGAGAGAGAGAGAGAGAGAGAGAGAGAGAGAGAGAGAGAGAAAATAAGAAAGTACAAATTGTATGCGATGAGCCAAGGGTGTCACGACTGCTGCATGGGTGCAAAAAGGCTCTTCAGGAGATCCTTCTTGTTGACCTGCCAGGGAAGACACGAGAGGGATGGACATGCAAAGTGAGAAGGTGGATGTTGGACTCTGTTGAGGATGTATTGAGGTGCCTCAAAGAGTGAGCGAGTCAAGGGTCAGGACTGCTGCATGGGGGCAAAAAGGCTCTTCAGGAGATCCTTCATGTTGACCTGCCAGGGCAGACACGAGGGGGAATGAGGGACGGGTATGCAATGTGAGGAGACTGAGCCATGCTGCACTGATGTAAGCAAGTCAAGTGAGTCATGACTGCTGCATAGGGGAAAAAAGGTTCTTCAGGAGATCCTTCTTGTTGACCTGCCATGCCATGCCAGAAAATGACAGATGGATATGCCATGTGAGGAGATGGGTGGTGGTGATGCCATGATGTTGCATGTGATGTTGCATGGCATGTTGCATGGCATGTTCCTATTGTTGTCTCACCTTCTGCATGGCATTGCGTGGCATGCATAAAGCGCATAGCGAGTGGTGGATGGTGCATGGTGCATGTTGCATGTGATGGTGGTGCATGGTGCATGTGATGGAGGTTCAGAATGCATGTCATGCTCCTGTTGCTGTCTCACCTTCCCCATGGCGTTGCGAGGCATGGTGGCAACGACTCTCAGGCGCGATGGCACCTGGTCAGTAACGGGGGAGGGGAGGGGAAATGGGTGCATGGCATTAGAGGCCTTGGCATGGCGTGGCATGGCATGTGATGGCGTTGCGAGGCATGGTGGTAACCACTCTCAGGCGCGATGGCACCTGGTCGGTTAGGGGGGAAAACAGGGGAGATGCATGGAATGGCCTGACATGGCATGGCAAGGCTGAGTGAGCATGGTGTGGCATGGTGGCATGGTGTGGCATGGTGGCATGGTGTGGCATGGTGGCATGGTGTGGCATGGTGTGGCATGGTGGCATGGTGTGGCATGGTGTGGCATGGTGGCATGGTGTGGCATGGTGGCATGGTGTGGCATGGTGGCATGGTGTGGCATGATGGCATGGTGTGGCATGGTGTGGCATGGTGTGGCATGGTGTGGCATGGTGTGGCATGGTGGCATGGTGTGGCATGGTGTGGCATGGTGTGGCATGGTGTGGCATGGTGTGGCATGGTGTGGCATGGTGTGGCATGGTGTGGCATGGTGGCATGGTGTGGCATGGTGTGGCATGGTGTGGCATGGTGTGGCATGGTGTGGCATGGTGTGGCATGGTGTGGCATGGTGTGGCATGGTGTGGCATGGTGTGGCATGGTGTGGCATGGTGTGGCATGGTGTGGCATGGTGTGGCATGGTGTGGCATGGTGTGGCATGGTGTGCCATGGTGTGGCATGGTGTGCCATGGTGTGCCATGGTGGCAACCACTCTCAGGCGCGATGGCACCTGGTCAATTAGGGGGGGAAACAGGGAAAATGGGTGCGTCCTGAGTGATGGCAGCATGCTCGCCAGGTGTTGCCTCCCTACTGCCAGGGTCTAGTGAGCATGGCATGGCAGCAGCACACAGCAGCAGCAGCGCACCTTATAGTGAGCCATGCGGGGGGCTGCCCATTTCCTCAGCTCGTCCAGAGTGATCACAGGGCATGCATTTTCGCTGGTGTCAGTAAAACTTTCCCCAGTAACGCCCTGCTGCTGCCCCTGGGTGTGCTGCTGCTGCGCTGCTCCCAGCACCACCACTGCCGCCACTGCCTCTCCCTGCTGCCTCTCCGGTACTCCCAACACTGCTGCCTCGGATATGAGAGGATGCTGGGAGGGGGAGGAGGGGGAGGGCAGGGCGGAGAGGAAGAGGAAAAAACAATCAATTAAGGGGTTTTCCATGCCACTGCTAATCACAGCCCATCACCACTCCTTACCGCTCATCACCCTTTCCCATCCCCCTTCCCCACTTCTCACCTCGGCGTAAAACCCAGATTGATTTAGCTATGGCAAATGCTAGTTCGATTATATCTCAAGTGCAAAACCCACCCATCACCGCTCATCACCGCTCATCACTGCTTATGCTGAAAATCTTGCCGCTCGTCTTGAATTATGTCCACACTCGCCCCATCACCCCTCATCACCAATCATCATCCCTCATCACCACCCATTGGAAAGCATCTTCGCCGCTCATCACCTCCCATCACCGCTCATCACCCTTCCCCACATCTCTCACCTCCAGCAGCTTCGATTCAATCTCCAGGGCAGAAACCTTGAAGCCCCTCGTTTTGATTATGTCCACACTCGCCCCTGGGAGAGGGGAGAGAGGGGGAGGAGGATGGGGAACGGAGAGAGAAAAGGAAATGATGCATCCACCACACACGCCCGATCACGAGAGAAAGTGCATCCACTTACGCACACATGCACACATGCACGCATGCACACATGCACACATGCACACATGCACACATGCACACATGCACACATGCACACATATTCTACTACACATGTCACACGAGCATACCAAACAGATACATTATTCGCACATGCATGCTACAGACACGCCAAACAGCAACACTGACTCCCATGATCTGCCAGAACCCATGGCTGTCCACCGATGCAATAAGACAGGCCCATGCATGCAAGAGTACACGCATACAAACACACATGCACACGCGCACACAAACACATATATGCTGCATATGTCACACGGGCACTCACTGCCGTGTATCTGCCAGTACCCATGGCTGTCCACCGATGCAATATCACAGACTCATATTCTACACATGTCACACGAGCATACCACACACATACATACTACAGGGATGATCAACAGCAACACTCACTGCCGTGAATCTGCCAGTACCCATGGCTGTCCACCGATGCAATATCGCCTGTTCGAAACCACCCCTGTGGGTCAAACGCCTGCTCTGTTTCCTGCAGGGTTGGGAGAAATGAGAGGCAAAGAGAAAGTTGCAGAGACTAGACTATACATTTATATTCGTGTACTTTTTGAATGTTCCGACATGGAAAGGAACAGTTGTCGCCACATTGTTTCATCAGACTGCAGATAGCAAAGGTAGATTTTCCCGTTCGCCACATTGTCACATTGAGGATACAGTCTGCATTGAGTACTATCAGCAGCTATTGCACTCAAACTGAGAAACGGGTAGAAAGCAGCAAGCTCGGTTTGACCGACCAGTGATGACTAATCTAAGAACTACTAAACTCAGCTATTGCAACAGCTGCTGATAATACTCAACGCACCCTGGGTGTGTTCCAATCTCAGGTGGGTGTTCATGGCACCACTGGTTTTGAGGCGCCTCAAAACTAAACCTCAGGTGTGTGTTTATGGCACCATATGCACCATATGCACCATATGCACTCAACGCACCACCACTGGAAACTGCTAGTCAGCGCACCTTGGGTCTGTTCCAGTATTGCAGGAACCATCAGCTCTCACCACCACCCCCCACTCCACACGCTGCTATTGCCATCCATAAGCAATTAACAACACATATCGGGTCTGTTTCAACACTACATTCAACTAAACCCACCTGGGGTCGATTCCAGTATCGCAGGAACATGCCAGGGCTCTTCACTAGTAGCTCTCCCCACCCCCCGCTCCACGCGCTGCTACTGCCATCCATAAGCAATCAACAACACGTATTGGGTCTGTTCTAACAACATTGCATGCACTCAACCCAACCCACCTGGGGTCGATTCCAGTATCGCAGGAACATGCCAGGAAGGACTCTTCACCAGCTGCAGCAGCTGCTGCTGCTGCTGCTGCTGCTGTTGCTGGCACTGCTACTCAACTCATCGCACCTGAGGTCGGTTCCAGTATCGCAGGAACATGCCAGGGCTCTTCACTAGTAGCTCTCCCCACCCCCCGCTCCACGTCCCATTGCTGCTGTCAACCCTGCTGCTACCACCACTGCTGCTGCCGCTACTGCTGAATGCCCCGGGAGCAGACAAGTGACCCAGCATGGTTCGTGCACAGCTGCTGCTGCTGCCGCTGCTGCTGTGCCGATCCTTTGCAGTGTCTGCTAGTTTCACCTGATAAGAAGAAGGAAAGGGCAAAAAGACGTTTCAACACATGGCTGCTGTCTCTTCTACTTTCATATGAAGGTAGGTACGGAGGAGGGCATTTCGTTGACTGCAATCAACCAAGGTTCACCACATTTGACCATAGTTGACCATAGTTGACCACATTTGACCACATCTGACCAGAGTTGACCAGAATAGACCAGATTTGACCACATTTGATTACATTTGACCACATTTGACCACATTTGACCACAGCTGACCAGAGTTGACCACATTTTATCGCTGTCAGACCGACTTTATATACTCACCTTAACCCCTCTGAGTGGCACGCCCACCGAGCCTGATTTCTTCTCTCCCAGCAAAGGATTGGTGAGGGCCATTGCGAACTGCATGGATACACAGGTTGGAGAGCAGAGGAGAGCAGTGGGAGGAGGAAACGAGGCAAGGAGGGTACTTTGAGGCGCTCCAAAACCCCCACTGAGCCTGACTTCTTCTCTCCCAGCAAAGGATTGGTGAGGGCCATTGCGAACTGGATAGATACACGGGTTGGAGAGCAGAGGAAAGCAGAGCAGAGCAGTGGGAGGAGGAAAGGAAAATACAATTTTTGAGACGTCGCAAAAGTTTTGTCCTAGCAAAGGGTTGGCGAGGGCTGCTGCAGAGTGCATTGAGGAATGGGTTTGAGAACGGAGGAGAGCAGTGGGAGGAGGAAAGGAGAAGAGAGGTGTGAGCAGGAGGGGAAGGTGGCGGTGGGAGGGGATATTAATGGATGAATAAATGCGATATATATATTAAGGATGCCATTAGTGGAGGTGTGAATAAATGCGATATATATATATATATATATACACACATATATCAAGAATGCCATTGATACCAGAAATGCCAGAAATGTGACCCTCACCTCTGTCATCCCATATCGTACCAGCAGCCTCTGCCTCGTGACTTGATGCCACGATTTCCCATCTGCACCACCACACTTGCGCTGCCCCACACCCCTCACCTCACCCTCACCCATCGCCCTCACCTCACCCTCACCCATCGCCCTCACCTCACCCTCACCCATCGCCCTCACCTCACCCTCACCCATCGCCCTCACCTCACCCTCACCCATCGCCCTCACCTCACCCTCACCCATCGCCCTCACCTCACCCTCACCCATCGCCCTCACCTCACCCTCACCCATCGCCCTCACCTCACCCTCACCCATCGCCCTCACCTCACCCTCACCCATCGCCCTCACCTCACCCTCACCCATCGCCCTCACCTCACCCTCACCTACGCCCACTCACCTCTGTCATGCCGTATCGCTCCAGCAGCCTCTGCCTCGTGACTTGGTGCCCCACTTGCGCTGCCACACTTGCGCTGCCCCACTTGCGCTGCCACACTTGCGCTGCCCCACTTGCGCTGCCCCACTTGCGCTGCCACACTTGCGCTGCCCCACTTGCGCTGCCACACTTGCACTGCCACACTTGCGCTGCCCCACTTGCGCTGCCACACTTGCGCTGCCCCACTTGCGCTGCCACACTTGCGCTGCCCCACTTGCGCTGCCACACTTGCGCTGCCCCACTTGCGCTGCCCCACTTGCGCTGCCCCACTTGCGCTGCCCCACGCCCCCTCACCTCAACCACCCCATATCTCCCCACGCCCCCTCACCTCTGTCATCCCGTATCGCTCCAGCAGCCTCTGCCCCGTGACCTGGTGCCATCGCCGCATGAGCTCGTCAGGGCACGCGGCAGAGCCGCACATCTGAAGGTATGGCAGGGAGGAAAGAGAGGAAGGGGAAAGGGGAAGGGAAGGTGTGTTGTAGTGTTCCTGCAGCGGCCTTTGCTGCCCCGTGACTTGGTGCCATCGCCGCATGAGCTCGTCTGGGCGCGAGGCAGAGCCGCACATCTGATGGTATGGCAGGGAGGAAAGAGAGGAAGGGGGAAGGGGAAGGGAAGGTGTGTTGTAGTGTTCCTGCAGCGGCCTTTGCTGCCCCGTGACTTGGTGCCATCTCCGCATGAGCTCGTCTGGGCGCGAGGCAGAGCCGCACATCTGATGGTATGGCAGGGAGGAAAGAGAGGAAGGGGGAAGGGGAAGGGAAGGTGTGTTGTAGTGTTCCTGCAGCGGCCTTTGCTGCCCCGTGACTTGGTGCCATCGCCGCATGAGCTCGTCTGGGCACGAGGCAGAGCCGCACATCTGATGGTAGGGGTGAGAAGAAAGGTGAGTGGAAGGGAGGATGTTACGCAGTGCTGTTGGTAGGGGTGAAGCGGCGAAAGGGAGGCAGTAATGTGTGAAGCACTAAGGCAGCCTCTATCGCCATGACTTGGTGCCATCGCCGCATGAGCTCATCGGGGCACGAGGCAGAGCCGCACATCTGATGGTGAGGGCAGCAATTCCAAGGGGAGAGCGACACAACGAGGGGGCGACGCACAGGAGATTTGAGACGTATCAAAATGGGATAGCAGGAATACCAAGGGCGGAGCGACACAAGGAGAGGACGAAACACAGGAGAGAAGTTCAAGTAGTGATATAAGAGGTGCGAGGAATTCAAGTAGTCGTGATAATAAGAGGTTCAAGAAGTATTCGTGACTTGCTAATGCCCCCCTTCCACCTCCCCAGGTTCCCAACCCACCATGAGCCTCAGCTTGCTGGCGGCAAGAGCCGACTTCCTCTGCAGCTGCAGGGGCATGCGGTCAAACTCCTGTAACAGCCGCATGTAGTGGGTTGGCACCTGGGGGATTGGGGATGGGAGAGGATAGGAGGGGGAGAGAGATAGGAGAGTGACAGGGCATGTGAGAGAACGGGCAACCGCTGCAGCTGCAGGGGCATGCGGTCAAACTCCTGTAACAGCCGCATGTAGTGGGTTGGCACCTGGGGGACGAGAGAGGAGAGGGGCGGAGGGGGAGACGGGGATAGGATAGAAATATGGTGATGGAGAAGAGGCTCACCCTAGTGAAGAATGTGATGGAGTCTGCTGTCAGTAGCAAACAGGTGGGCTGCGGAGGTCTTATTTCCATCAACTTAAGTGGTTCTAGGACGACGAAACAAACTCCAGAAATAGGGTGATGGAGAAGAGGCTCACCCCGGTGAAGAAGGTGATAGAGTCAGGTTGAGCGCAGCAACCATCGGGGCAGGTGAGAATTGGCATGAACAAACAATAAGTGTGCAAGAGGGGGGAGATCCCCAGTAAGGACTCTCACCCCGGTGAAGAACGTGATGGAGTCTGGCTGCGCGCAGGGGCCGTTGGGGCAGGAGTGCGGAGAGGAGAGGTGACCGGACGGACCAGTGGGATAGGAATGGGCAGAAGAAGATGTTGGAAGAGGAGGGAAGAAGGGAGTAAAGGCTCACCCCGGTGAAGAACGTGATGGAGTCTGGCTGCGCGCACCGACCGCCGGGGGTGGTGTGAGATGCCATGACCGGACCATAAGTGGTGATGGGAGGAAGGGATGGTATACCTCAGCTCAGCTGCCCAACACGTGAATGAACTCACCCCGGTGAAGAATGTGATGGAGTCGGGCTGCGCACAGCGGCCATCAGTGGACGAGAGAGTGAGGGGCGTATGCCGCAGTGAGAAGGGAGAGGAGGCTTTTGAAAAGAATCTCACCCCGGTGAAGAATGTGATGGAGTCGGGCTGGGCGCAGTGCCCGTCGGGGCAGGTGAGAATTGGCTTGACCCGGTAAGGACTCTCACCCCGGTGAAGAATGTGATAGAGTCGGGCTGGGCGCAGCGCCCGTCGGGGTAGCTTTCTCTCCACCGCTGCCACACTGCTGCTGCACTGAAGCGGTGGTTGGGGAAGAACTCGACCTGCGTGGGATGGGAGCAAGGGCGAGAATGAGGGCGTTAGGGCTGCTAGGGAGAGCTGGTGGCATGCACGCCCGTCGGGGTAGCTTTCTCTCCACCACTGCCACACTGCTGCTGCACTGAAGCGGTGGTTGGGGAAGAACTCGACCTGGGAGAGAGAGGATGGTGATGTGAGGGGGGGTGAGGAGTGTGAAGTGAGGGTGGTAGAGAGAGGTGGTAGAGAGAGGTGGTAGAGAGAGGTGGTAGAGAGAGGTGGTAGAGAGAGGTGGTGGAGAGAGGTGGTAGAGAGAGGTGGTAGAGAGAGGTGGTAGAGAGAGGTGGTAGAGAGAGGTGGTAGAGAGAGATGGAGAGAGGTGGAGAGAGGTGGTGCTGGCGACCTGGCAACACGCCAGGACCTCTTCGCCGACGATGCAACATGGGACCTCTACTCCCTTCGCGACAGCAGGCAACCCCCACTCGCCCGCCACCCACCTCGCACACTTCACGACTCCTTCGCAGCCTGCCTCCTCACCCCGCTGTTACACCTCGCACAAGACCCTGACTCACCTGCGGGCTGGAGACTGCTTATGTTCCTCCCGCGCATCCTTTTGCGCACCTCGTCAGCCAAACGCCCTGATTGGTCGAAGAGCCGAAACTAGTTTACACAATGTTCTGATTCTGTAAGTGAAGAGTTGATGCACACTGGCTCTCTAAGAAACGATCTAAGCTAGCGCGACACCAGGTTCCTTTCCACTATCATTGCATGGGGTTTGTTTCTCTGTCCTAAACAGCAAGAGTTGATGGAAATAAGGCCTCCGCAGCCCACCTGTTCAACTTCGACACGCCCTGATTGGTCAAAGTTGGTGCCAGACTAATCCGGTTCCGCCAAGGCCTTTGGGCGAAGGCTGTATGACACCACAGGCATCCTGGCAGCTGACGCAGTTACCCAGCCACCTCAGCCCCGCCACGCGCCAGACAACACAGGCATCCTGGCAAGGGCCGAGGGATTGGCCAAGCGAGGGAACTTAGCCAAATCCCTCCAATCTCTCACTGCCACGCCAGTCTCCACCCCATCCAGGGACGTGCTAGATGCGCTTTCAGCCAGGCACCCCCCAGCGCGCCAAGCCATCCCTGACTGGGTGCGGGAGTTCAACACAGACAGCACTCCGTCAATCCCCCCACGTGACTTACGACGCATCCTCGCCAAGTGCCCGAACGGTGTGGGTGCTGGTCCCTCAGGCACTACCTTCGAACACCTGAGGGATGCAGCATTAGGGAACACGGACGTCTTATTGCAGCTGCATGCCCTTACGAATACAGCGCTGGCCGGGAAGCTGCATGCCCTTACGAATACAGCGCTGGCCGGGAAGCTGCATGCCCTTACGAATACAGCGCTGGCCGGGAAGCTGCATGCCCTTACGAATACAGCGCTGGCCGGGAAGCTGCATACCCTTACGAATACAGCGCTGGCCGGGAAGCTGCATGCCCTTACGAATACAGCGCTGGCCGGGAAGCTGCATGCCCTTACGAATACAGCGCTGGCCGGGAAGCTGAGCGCGGAGGCGGCGGAGCTCCTCACTGCGTCACGCCTACTTGCATTCTCAAAGCCGCAGGGGGGTACATACCAGGCCGATCGCAGTAGGAGAATGCCTACTACGGCTCGTGGCCAAAGCGGCCTTATTCCTGGCAGCTGAGAGAGCACGGGACCACTTCGCGCCACTGCAATTCGGCGTGGCGATAGCGGGAGGCATCGAGGCAGCAGTACACTCCGCACGGACCTACCTGGAGGAGAACGAAGGGGCGGTGGCGCTGCAAATCGACCTGGCGAATGCGTTCAACACAGTGGAGCGCGCAGCGGTGTTCAAAGGCCTTGAGGGGACCACCCTGGAATTCATGGTGCCCCTGGTGCGGCTGACCTACGGTGTCCCCTCGGCGCTCCACCTCGACCATGCATTTCGACTTTTGAGTCGACTCAAAAGTCAACTCGCTGACCTACGGTGTCCCCTCGGCGCTCCACCTCGACCATGCATTTCAAGCTCCCCCACTGCAGTCCGCGCGCGGCGTCCGCCAAGGGGATCCGCTGGGTCCCCTTCTCTTTGCTGCTAGCATTCACCCCTGCCTTGTAGCTGCGGCGGAGGCGCACCCAGGAGTCGTCATCCTCGCGTACACGGACGACATTACCCTCCTGGGGGAAGCAGCGGCGTGCACGGAGGCGTTCACCCACCTCACCAGCGCCCTGCTCTCCCTTGGCCACGAGAACGCCTCCGTGCACGCCGGTGCTTCCCCCAGGAGGGTAATGTTGCTGGTGAGGTGGGTGAACGCCTCCGTGAACGCCTAGAGCACAACCCCGAGAAGTGCGCAGCGTGGTCGGCTGCACACGTAGAACCCGCCTCTCTGCCCCAGCACGTGCCTTACTCGGCGGGCGGGATCCGCGTCCTGGGGAGCCCAATCGGACCACAGTCAGGATGCGCGGCGATGGTACAGGAGCGCCTGTCAGCAGCAGCAGAGCCCCTCACGCTCCTGTCCCAAATGGACCCGCAGCTGTGCCTGCTGCTTCTCACACGGTGCGTGAGCCGCCGTGCCTCTTACCTCGTCAGAACCACGCCTTTGGATGTGCTGCCAGAAGAGACATGGTCGGCGTGGGGGGAACAGCTGCTGCACACCTACCTGACAGCGGCACACACGGCGGTACCCAGGGAGGAGGCGGAGCGAGGGAGAATCTGGTGGCAAGCAGCCCTGCCCGTGACACTAGGCGGCCTCGGCATCACCAACCCAGCGACGGAAGGGGCGTTCGCGTACCTTGCATCGGTCATCTCCTCCTCCGCCCATCTGCTGCGCTCGTTTGGCGACACGGTGCACCCCGCCGTCGCTTATATGCTGCCGCTGATGGATGCAGATGCGGACTCACCCTCGGCCCTACCAAGGCGCCTCGCAGCGGCAGAGGCCGCGTTGCCTCCAGAAGGACTAGAAGCACGTCAGGTCGGCCGGCGCGACCCCGATGGTCCGAAGCTGCAACAGGCACTGTCGCTGGCCGTCCACACCGCCCGGTACATTGAGCTGCTCGATGCCTGTCCACACCGCCCGGTACATTGAGCTGCTCGATGCCTCGCGGGACATGCCTTTGAGCCCGCTCTCTCGCCACACACAGCGAGATGACTTTTGAGTCGACTCAAAAGACATGCCCTTGAGCCCGCTCTCTGGCCACACACAGCGCCTGCAGTCCCTCCACGGCCCCGGGGCAGGAGATTGGCTGCTCGCCCTCCCCCTGATCCCGGCCCTCCGCCTAGGCCCCTCTCAGCACTCTACAGCAGCCTCCTTCCGCCTAGGCAGGCTTCACGGTGCACAAGGAATCAACAGTGTACTCACCGGTCGAAAACCTCAAAAGCGGATGTTTGCATCCGCCATCCCGACACCGGTGAGGTATGGATGTGCGACATCACCGTGACGGACCCGGTCTCCCACCAGGATGAGCATGCACGGAAGGCGCCTGGGTGGGCTGCAAGGATGCAAGCCGCCAAGAAAGAGGACAAGTACGCGTGGCGGAACGCGGGTAATTCCACGGGCTTCCACACCATGGCGGTTGAGACGTACGGCTACCCCTCCCCGGGAGTGCACGCCCTCCTCCGCACCTGCGCCGAGCTCGCGGGCAAGAGGCGGTACAACGCTGCACCAAAGTCTTGGGAGGTGGCCAAGCTCCTCACGGAGTACCGGCAGCGCTGGAGCGTTACACTCCAGCGGGCCCAGGCCAACGCCCTGCGCGACAAGACCCACGAGGCCATAGCCGCATATGAGCTCGGCCTGCAGGGCCCGTTCACGCCGCTGGGCGAGGAGCAGCTGTACCAGCTGATTGAAGACCCCATTGGCCAGTAGGGCCGTGGGGTGGGGGGGGGGTAGGACGGGGCTTGGGATGGTGTGGTGTGGTTTTCTTTGTTTAGATTAGAGTTGCCTTGTTCCCGTCTGAGATCAAGCCTTGTTGTTATGCTGCTATTAATACGAAGGACCATTCGAGGTGGAAGAGAGAGGTGGTACTGTGGCACCAGAGCAGCATAGGTGCATTGCAGCACACACACTCACCGTGGCACCAGCGATTTTTTAGTCGACTCAAAAACCAGCGGAGAGATGGCTCAGCAGCGCATTCATGATGCCATGCACGTGTGGTCAAGGTGACATGCCAGATAGGCGGTCAAGGATACATGCATGCATGCACGCATATGCACTCAATAGCAAGGATAAGTTCGCACGCGCGCACGCACACACACACACACACACACACACACACACACACTCACACACACTCACACACACACACACACACTCACTTACTCACTCACCGTTGCACCAGCAGAGAGAGGGCTCAGCAGCGCATTCATGATGCCATGCACGTGTGCTCGGAGTGACGCCCAGCCAGAACACACCTGAGCAGCATAGGTGCAGTGCAGTGCAGTGCGGTGCGGTGCGGTGCGGTGCAGCACAGAGACACTTACCGTTGCACCAGCAGAGAGAGGGCTCAGCAGCGCATTCATGTTGCCATGCACGTGTGCTCGGAGTGACAGCAGCGAGACACACAAGAGCAGCATAGGTGCATTGCAGCACACACACTCACCGTGGCACCAGCAGACAGAGGGCTCAGCAGCGCATTCATGATGCCATGCACGTGTGCTCGGAGTGACAGCCCGCCAGAACACACCGCAGCCATGGGGTGGCGAAGGAAGGGTTGCAGGGTTATTCAGACGCTTCGATGAATCAGCACACGTTTCAACGTAGGCGTAGAGGGGAGTGAGGAAACGGAGAGAGAGTGGAGGAAGAAGAAGGGGGGACGAGGGAGAGGAAGGGGGGTGAGGGAGAAGACAGTGGCAGTAAAGAAGAGCGCATGTGTAGGAAGAGGGTAAGGGGAGGGGGTAGAGGAGAAGGAGAGGGATGGAGGGTGACGGTTAAGGAAAAAACAAGGCATGCGATTTCATGGATCAAAATCTGATGCAACTTAAAACAAGGGAAAAAAATCCAGAGTAAAGAGTAGAGCTCATTCACTTGTGCCATTCACAAAAGCAAAGGCAGGTGTGTGGCAGGTGTGGTGCATGGCGGGAGAGAGGAGCAGGAGGAAGGATATGGTGCAGCGGCAGCACGTTGAGAAGGGAGTTGAGAGGGGAGTAGAAATGGAGGGGGTGAGGAGGGGTGGGGAGGAGAATATTATGGGGTATAGGTGTGTGTGGGTGGAATGATTGTGCAAAGCAGCAGAAAGATAAAAGGATGGCTGCAGGAGTGAGAGGCAGGAGAAAGGGCAAGGGCAAGGGAGGGGCGAGTGGGCAGAGAAGCGCAAGGGAGGGGAGGGGCGAGTGGGCGGAGAAGCGCAAGGGAGGGGCGAGTGGGCAGAGAAGCGCAAGGGAGGGGCGAGTGGGCGGAGTAGCGCAAGGGAGGGGCGAGTGGGCAGAGAAGCGCAAGGGAGGGGCGAGTGGGCAGAGAAGCGCAAGGGAGGGGCGAGTGGGCAGAGAAGCGCAAGGGAGGGGCGAGTGTGGGCGGATATGGTGCAGAGGCAGCACGTTGAGTACTCGGTCCGAGGGAGAGAAGTCCCATGCGTCCACCAACATGCCGGCCTGCCAGTGAGAGGAAGGGGGGGAAGGCAATCAGAGGGAAGGCACGCTGAGCAGAAGGCTTATCACAGTGGGAGGAGGCAGCACGTTGAGTACTCGGTCTGAGGGGGACAAGTCCCATGCGTCCACCAGCATGCTCGCCTGCAGGTGGGAGGGGGAAGGCGACAACAGGGGGGGATGGAGAGTCGGTAGCGTTAAGTCAATCGGATATGGTGCAGAAGCAGCACGTTGAGGACTCGGTCAGAGGGGGAGAAATCCCACATGTCCACTAGCATGCCCGCCTGCGGGTGAGACAAGAAGAGCAATTTTAGCAGATAGAAAAGCAAATGCGCATGCAGGTTTAGATACTAGATTCTGTCAGAGGGTTGCCAAGAAAAGCACCAAGGTGGTTCTTCCTTGGTTTGTCTTGAGAACTGTCTGATTAGCATCAAAATTTATTTTTCAGGAGAACACAAAGATGATAAATGTAAGAAATTCCCCCTTTGCAAGGAGAACGTTGGATACCTACATGCATATGCATGTGAGCAGAGGACTTGGTCCCTTACCTGTGAGGCGAGGCCTATATGTGAGTGCACCACTCCCTTGGGTCGACCCGTGGTGCCACTCGTGT